TCATCCCACCAAAAATATGGGATATATGATATTGTCAAATACTAAGACTCCCTCTCCCTTAAAAGCATATGACTCCGGCCAGGGATATAGCTCAGTGGCGTAAGCGTCTGCCTGGCAAGTGCAAGGTCCTGAGTTTGATCCCTGGTACCGCCAAAAAAGCACATAACTCCAGCCAAGTAAGTATTTGGTGCATTGCTCCTGAGTACACTGTGAGCATATGTTATTGCACAGTACATTAGAAACATTTCATTCTTCCACTGATTTCACAGATAGAGAAACTGAGGCCCCAAAAGGGGAAAGGACCTGACCAGGCATAAGTTAACTCTCTTCTTTTTTTTTTTTTTAATGAGTCGGGGTTATCATGATTGCAAGTAATTCCTCAATCTAATGGCCCTTGGCTTTCATCATGATATTAATGAGCCATTCTTCTTAACAATGATTTAGCACTAGCAGGCCAGACTAACTGGCAACTTTCTGGGCTGCACTGAAACCATGACTCCCAACTACAGCCAATGCATAACCTGTCTGCACTACAAGGCTTCTCACAGTTGGCTCTGCCCCAATCCGGATAGGGTGTGTCACCCCTGGGAGAATCCAGAAACCTACCTGGCAATGATGTTTTTTTTTTTTTTTTAACAGGGTCTCACCACGCAGCTCAGACTGATAGTTATCCTCCTGTGTCAGCCTCCTCAGTGTTGGGATTATAGGTGTGTACCACCATGCCCTCTTGGTGGTTGGCTCCACATGTCCAGGGTGGGCCAACATGGTGGCCATGGTCTCTGTGCTTGCCTAAACAGGCGTTCAGACTGCTGGGCTATCTCAACAGACCTCAGAAATGATTCTTTTTCCCTTTCCTTCCCCATAGCCAGCTGGAAAATCTCCAGCTAAAGAAGAAGAACCAGCGGTGGGGCTAATGTGTGACAAAATGATGTCCAATCCCACCTCTGTCTCAGTTCCACATTGGCACTGCACTCCCTGGAATCCCAGGGGACTGCAAGCAAGCGGCCCGGGAAAAAAGTCAAAACTCCTTCAGCCTGGAGGAAAACAGGAAGGAAGAAAGGTGACGCTGGATCTAGCATAGTTTTCCAACTGTAGCCATCACAGAGGGACTGATGAACTGCAGGTTCTGAGTCAGGAGGTCCACAGCAGGGCCTAGGGATCTGCATTTCTAAGCAGCTCCCAGGTAATGCTGGACGCTGCAGTCCCAGGGATCAGGCAGACCCTAGAGTCCTGCAGGCACAAGCCCCTGAGGATTGTAGCCCCTGGCCCCAAGCTGGCAGCTCCCCTCCAGCAGGGCAGGGCCTGTGGGGCTTTTGGCACTGATGAAGGGTGGTCTTCTATTCACAAAAGAAAGCTGGAAGGTGGGTAATTAGGCAGATCCTTCTGGTATTGTAGACCTCTGTAACAACCTGTTATAGCTGTAAGAACATTTTTAATTAGACCAAATTATCTAGTTTGGCTGTCCATAGAAATCAGAGCCCCAGCTGAACGTCTCTTTCATTTCGCTAGTGTGGAGATGTCTTATGTGTTGTGATTTTTAAGATGCTGAACATTGCCTGTGGGCATATTTTATGGAGAGCTAAACACACAGCCCAATGAGATGTATAGTGTGGTTTTAATCTATTGTATATTCACTTATTTATGAGGAAAATAAGCACACAAGCCAATAAGCTGTGTATTATTACTTTAATATACTGAATTTATTTCATACCTATATATTTTATGAGGGAAAATAAACTAATAAGATACACGATATTATAATAACACATCTAATTGTTCTATATTAATTTATTTATGAGGCAAATAAGTGCAATTTAACATGACATAAGATTATTTACTGCATGAGACAAATTCTGTATTAGGACAGTTTAAGGGATGAAACTCCCGCTGAATAAAATGTGGCCTTCCCAAACGGAGGGAGTGGGAGTTTGCCTAGTCCTGTGTGTCACGACCCGTGTTGCTTGCGGCTTAGCCTGACAGCTGCGGCCTCTCGGTGCCTGGTACCCTAAATCCCCGTCCTGCTGGCCCAGGGAAAAAGTGTGGGAGGCCAGGAAAATAAACTGCATTTAGAGACGCGCAGCATCTGCCAGGGAGGTAGCCCCGCGGTGTCTGTTTCCGAGCTCGAGAAATATTAAATAAACCGAAGGAGGATGAATGGGTTCCAGGGGCCCTTTAAATCTCCACGTTGCCGAAGAACAAACCAGGCAGCGGCGGGGGATCGATCCTCGCCTCCCGCTCGCGCGCGTGGCGGGGCGCCGGGACGGGGCGGGGCGCGCGGAAGGGGGGCCGACGGCAGAATGAAGTCGTCGGCCACGACAGGTGGGTCTGCACTCTTGCAGTGGACTCTGGTCGGGCTTCAAATCCGAGCCAAGGACCCAAAGTGACACCCGGCTACAGGGGCGAGCCCCGCCCCCGAGCCCCGCCCCCCGCGGGGCCCCCTCCGGGCCCACGCCCACCGCACTGTCCCGCCGTCGCGTGCGCTCGGCCCTCTGCGCGGCTC